AAAAAAAAAAAAAGGGATGGCCTCAATCTTTCAATCCTCCTGCCTCATCTTCCTAAGTGCTGAGATTACCAGTGTATCACCATACCTAGTTACAGTAGGATATTTTACCCTAGTATTTTCCCCGTGTGTGATCACAGGTATGAAGTTGTGTATAATACCCTAATCATGCAATCTTAGCACTTGGAAGGCAGTTACAGGAAGATCAAGAGTTCCTGGGTCACATACTGAGGCTTTGTCTATAAAGAAAAAAAAAAAAAGGAGGTAAGAAAAATACGGTAGCTCATGCCTGTAGTCACAGCATTCAAGATGTAGGAGAATCCCTGTCAGTGTGAGGCCAGTCAGACCTATACGGTGAGACCCAATCTCAGTGGGGCAGGGGGGAGGGGATAGTGTGGGGGGGGATACAAGGGCAGGGGTACGGGGAGTGGTGTTCAGTGGTTAAGGGCACTGACTGCTTTTCCAGGAGCCGGGTTCAATTCCCAGTACCCACAATTCAGCTCACAAGCACCCATAAATTTGAGTTCCAGGGGATCTGCCACCCTCTTCTGGCCCTCACAGGCACTGCATGCATGTAGTTTACATACATGCAGGCAAAACATCCACACCCATAATGAAATAAAAAATTAAGACAAAATAATGATATAATTTTACTTTCCTTTTTTAAAAAAGAGATTTATTTATTTTTATTCTATGTGTTGCCTACAGGTATGTTTGTACACCACATATGTGCAGTGCCCACGGAGGCCAGAAGAGGACATCAGATCCCCTGGAACTGGCATTACATGTGGGTTTGAGCACATCTGTGGCTATGTTGGGAATCCATCCTGGGCCCCCTGGGAGAACAGCCAGTGCTCTTAACCACAGAGCCGTCTCTCCAGCCCTCCTCCTTCTGTCCACATAATAATCTATCAAGAGCTTTGTTTCATCATCAAACAGTCTTTGAAAACATTTCTAAAGCAACACTGTTAACTCTTTCCCTCACATTTATTGCAAACACTTCCTCCATTTTGTTGCTTGCCTTTTAATTAAGTTGGAGAATATGATGATGACATGCAGACATTAAGTTTTATGCTGAAAATCCAAGTATCTCCTGCATGGTTTCTTCCAGAGCTTTTATGTTCATAAAGGCTTTCCCCACCCAGAGGCAGTTAAAACTTAATGTGAAGCTCCTCCTAGTCTAATTACAGCATTACCTGTCTACATTGAACCCTTTCATTCATCTGTGGGGCACCAGGGTATGAGGAGACTCAGAGGACAACCATTTCTTCCTCACAGCTAACGTGGCGAGTCCTCAGTTATGAAACCCAGGCTCTATAGTCAAGCAATTCCATATGAAATTCACCTGCAGGGGTAACTCAATTATTTTAGAGCAGGCTATCCTGGAATTCACAGAGATCTGTCTACCTCTGTCTCTACAGTGGTAGAATTGAAGGCATATACCACCACATCTGCCCAAAATTCAAATATTACATCTTTTTTGCTGGCAGGAAATTATGAACAAAATAAACAGGCCAAAAAATTAAGATTCTGTTTTGTATTAAAATAACACAGGAGAAAATATTTAGTTTATATTAGTACAATAATGAAAATCTGTGGCTCAAAGCTTTAATAAGACACATCTGGAACAACATACACCAGGATCTGCAACTTGAAATACATCAAAAAAATCAAACGATAGCTGAAGAGCTGGTTAAGTGGTTAAGAGTGCTAGCTGCTCTTCCAGAAGACCCAAGATCAGTGCCCAACACCCACATCAGGCAGCCTACAATCACCTCTAATTCTAGCTCCAGGGGATCTAATGCTTCCTTCCTTCTGGCCTCCGAGGGCACTGCACACATGTGCACATACCCACACACAGACACAAATATACACATAATTAATTTTTTTCACTAAATTAAAAAAAAGATGACTTAAGCACACTGGTAATCCCAGCACTCAGGCACTTGAGACAGGAAAACTCTGCTCTTAATGCTGTCTAGGCAACACAGTGAAACCCTAGTCCTGCTCCAAAACACAAAATCTCACTTTATCTGGATAGAGCATGTTAAACATTTTACAAACAGAGCAAAATATAACCGTAGACTCCAGAGAGTAATTACGTGGGCGTTTACTATACACCTCCTTTGCTGGGTGTGGTGGCTGAAGCTTACGATCGACTACTTGAAGGCCAAGACAGGAGAACGGGCAAACGTTTGAGCTAGCCTGAGCTACAGCATGAAATCACATCTCAGACTAACAGACAGCAAACGGTGAGGTATGTGTGGAGATCAAAGGAAAACTTGTGGGAGGCGGCTTCTCTCCTCCTGTCAAGTCCCAAGGCTGAAGACACGTCATTAGGCTTGGTGACAGCCCAGTTACACACGGAGCCACCTTGTCTGCCTTTGCGTTGTTTCTTTACCCTCATGTTTGAAAACGTCAACACGACAAAGTAGGTGGGTAGGTGTGAACCCTCTGTAATTCGTGCTGGAAGGGCAGGCAGGGAGGGATCCCCAGAGTGAGCTGGCTAGCCAGACTAGCAGCTGCAAGTTCTGGATTCAACTGAGAGATCCCGCCTCAAAGAATAAGGCGGAGAACAACTGTGAGAGACACCGGACATCAAACTAGGGCCTCCACGCGCACACGCGTACACGTGGACCCACACACAACAAACACACAGGGGGAATGTTAACTGGTGACATAACAGATTGCTCTAGTGCTTGCCTAGTATGCACAGGACACTGGGTTCAATCCCCTCAACACTACAAATAAATACATAACTGCAAAAAGAAAACCGAAAATCTTAATTACTAGGGTATGGGTTGTAGGTCACACACCATTATGAAATGAACCTGTATTATAATGATAAAAGAAGAATAACGTGACACAACACAGGAAGGACCCACAGGTATTACCAGGAAAGACAGACAAGAGCAACAGGCACTACACTTTTGCAAATCAACTTTCATGACAATACAGAACCATAGGACTTAGTAAAAGGGAAAAAGCTCACATATCAGTTACATAATTAACATACCTGCTGAGAAAGAAAGAATTCGGCTTGTTTTTGGGACAGAGGACCACTGCAAGACACCTCCTCTTCTCTGGAAAATGAAAGCAAAAAATTAAAAATGTAACAGCAGCAAAGAATTACACAAGAGTCAAAAAGATAACATTTACAAATCATGTAAATCCTTAGAAAGTTCAAGGTCAATTATGGTAACGTATTTGTGTAATTCCACTGCTCAAGAGGCTGAGACAGGAAGATGGCAAGTTCAAGTTCAATGGGCTACATGTTAAGAAGCTACTAAAACAAAAAACAAAAAACAACAAAAAAACCCCACACACATCAAAATGTAATAAACACACACACACACACACACACACACACCTGGAGACTCATGTTTACATGGCATTAGGAAAGCAACTCAATAACCCACTGACAAACTGTAACTAAGCAGCCCTTGAAAAAGGAGATTCTCAGGCTGCAGAGGCTGATCAGTGTTTGGAGCATGTGTTGCTCTTGCAGAAGACCCAGGCTTGACCCCCAGCACCGACATGGCAGCTCACCACCATCTGAACCCCCAGTTCCTGAGGCTCTGATGCCCTCGTCTAGACTCTGCAGGCATTTACACGTGGGTGAGCCTTCAGAACACTGTGCACACACAGCCCTCCACCACAGCTTCCACTCCTGGCCGTCATTAGCTTATGTCCGGTTCGTCCTTTCTTTAAGACAGTCTTGCCGGGGCAGGGGTGGCACATGCCTTTAATCCCAGCTCTAGGGAGGCAGAGGCTAGATTGAGTTCCAGGACAACCAGGGCTACAGAGAGAAACCTGTCTAGGAAAAACAAAACAACAACAACAACAACAAAACCAACAGACAGACAGGGTCTGGTTAAATAACCTTGGCTATCCTGGAACTCACTGCCCAGCCCAGGCAGATCTGGAACTCATAATTCTGCCTCCTCGACTCACCCCTATTTCCCCCCAGTGCTGGCATTGTACACACCACCAAACATGGTGTCTGCTTCATTTTAGCACAGTGACTCTCTTGAAAATTTCATCTTGTTAGTTTAAATTTAGTTCTCTCTCTATCATCTGTCCATCCCTACCTAATGGTATGAACGTGGGGGTTTTCTCCTCTTGGCAAAAGGAACAGCACCGAGCACAGTGCCTGCCTGGCATGCAGGAAGCAGTCAGTAACGCTTATGGAATAGGTGAGTTTGGGAGATTGGTACTAAGTTACCACCAAGAAGAAACCCGAGAATTTCCACAGATGTTAGGGCCTCCCCGAAGCCTGGGAAAGCAGCAGTGCAAGCACGCTGCAGCCTAAGGACCTCCACAGGAAGCCCACAGGGTATAATGCTACAGGCCTGCACTCCTGCAGAACATGACTGCTGCCGCTGAGCCACCAAGATGAACCACACGCCAAAGATGAATCAGGTGCCTGCTCCGTAACTGAGTCTTAAAAACATCTGGTCAACATTTAATGACTCGACAGTCCGACCTCTCAATGTGTGCGTTCCTTTGGCACGGGAGGTTGAACCTAGAGCCTCATCCACAGAAGGCAGGCGCTGCTCCACTGAGCCACACCCTCAGCCATCCCTTTTCTAAGTTAACAGTCGGAGTGGGCAGTGTTGGCCCACACTCGCAATCTCTGGACCTGAAGGCTGAAGCAGAACTGTCCTGAGTTTAAGGACAGTCTGGACTATCAAATGAAACCCTGTCAAAAATAAAAATATAGGGCTGGAGAGATGGCTCAGAGGTTAAGAGCACTGACTGCTCTTCCAGAGGTCCTGAGTTCAATTCCCAGCAACCACATGGTGGCTCACAACCATCCGTAATGAGATCTGGTGCCCTCTTCTGGCCTGCAGTCACATATGCTGTATACAAAATAAATAAATAAATCTTTTAAAAAAATAAATAAAAAAATATATATATAAAAATAGAGCCGGGCGTTCGTGGAGCACACCTTTAATCCCAGCACTCGGGAAGCAGAGGCAGGCGGATCTCTGTGAGTTCGAGGTCAGCCTGGGCTACAGAGTGAGTTCCAGGAAAGGTGCAAAGCTACACAGAGAAACCCTGTCTCAAAAAAAACCAAAAAATAAAAACTAAATAAATAAAATAAAGAGTGAGGTTCCCCCTTCAAAAAGGAAGAACCTGAGGCGGGGAGACTCACAAAGCACACAGTTACCTCATGCACTTGTAACTCCCCCTTTCTCAGCTGTAAAACTAGTTTGCAAGAAAAATAATTTCCCCGTAGAAAGCCAGAAACATCGCCACACCTATAGGAAAGGGGAATTTTTCTTCCAATGTAATAAAATAAAATCAGGGCAGCTACTTGTCTAGCATACATGAGATTGTGGGTTCTAGCCACCCCGAAAGAAAAAAGAAATTGCACACACACACACACACACACACACACAAAATATTAAATTTTCCTTTTCCAAAGTCAAGGAAGGGCTTCGATTAACTATTCTAAACCAGTGACCGAAGACACAGCTCAGTGTGGAGTCCTGCCGAGCACGCACAGGCCCTGGCCCCAACCCCAGAACTGTGAAAACAAAACACCAAACTTCAAAGAATCAAGTGAGTCAAGAAATACAGGAAACTATATATTTTATTATTCTTTCTTTTTTCTTTTTAATTTTGAGACAGTCTCTCTATATAGTCCTGGCTGTCCTGAAACTCACTATGTAGACCAGGCTAACCTTTAATAGAGATCTTCCTGCATCTGCCTTCTGAGTTCTGGGATTAAAGTCTTGCACCACTATACCCAGCCTGAAACTTTGAGAAAGTGTGTGTGAGAGAGACATGTATATAAGTGTTTGTGTTTGAGGTCAGCCAGGGATGAGTTTAAGCCCAGTATAGGCTACATAATGAGAGCATGTGTCTAAAAAATAAATAAAAAACAGCTTATGGAAACCCACTGGGTTGTAAGCTAATCTTAGAACATTTTATAGAGAGATCTGGATGTGGTGAATGCCTGTGCTTTAGGAGATCCTCAGGAGCTCTTCAGGAACAGTCAAAAGTTCCTTCCTTCTGAAGACTGATGCAGTTGCTTACCAGGGTACCTAGCTGTACCCACAGGAAAGACCTGCACTTCAAACTTAGAACTCTGAGTAGAGTTTAACAAGGGACCTCTCACAAAGCAGGAGCGGGACTCAGAGAAGCCCTAGGGGAAAGACAATTCCCAGGGCAGATAACAACGGGCCACCTGACAGACACTGTGCCCCTCAGCCTCTGCCATCGAAACCACACCGACCCCACTCTTCCCCCCATGGACTGCCCACCTGTTCCTCCCACCAGCCAACCCAAGCCACAGGGTACGACATCTTGGGTGCAGCCTGGGAGCCAACCTCCTGGATCCCCAGGGACAGAAAAGGGACGACCAGCTCGTCCAGTCTGAAGCGAAGCGGTTAAGGGGTGTCACTGGACAAGGCCCGGCCGGAAACCCGCAGTCACCTGACAGACACGTCGAGCTCCTCTTTCTCCATCTGTCTCTCTGCGTCCTCTCTATCCATGTCGGCGTCTCCCCCCGCCTTCTTCTCCCCGTTCTGGAAGTACTGCTGGAGGGCAGTGTACAGCTTGAACACTTGACTGAAAGAGAGCTTACTGTAGGCCAAGATCATGTGACGCAGAAACAGACCTACAAGAGAAGACCAGAGACAGATGGGAGCATTAGCTGACACCCGACCACAGGCACTGACTGCTGGCCAGCTCTCCCTCAGGAGAATCCCAGGCATTTGCGGGTGCCGCCCTCCTCCTGGGGGCTTCTGCCCTCATGCTTCACATTCGGGGCTCAGTCCTCTCCCATCTCCATCCCCTCAAGCCTCTGTTTACTCCACAGCTGACAAATTCTTGGAAACTATCATAGTTACCATTTGATTCTAACCAAAAGCCAAGAGGTGAGTAAATTCTCTTATTTACTGATTTACTTTTTTTTTTTTTAACCATTGGCCACCCCTCTCCCCAGCACCACGCAGTCTCTGTGAGAGGAAAGTCTACATCTACCTGGGCAACAGGAGGTCAATAAACAACTGATGCTGAGTAACAGAAAAACGACCATGCAACAGAGCCAGAGGAGAGGGACACAGGTACAGTTAGTGGAAAAGGCATCCAAGAAATGCCATGTGCGCACGCACTTCAAATACTGAAGCAAGAGTGTGCTTTTACTTACCTGGCTTCCAAGTCTGGCTGGTGACCCCCACTTACAGTTGCACACTACAGGCAAGTGGTCCGCAGGACTGTGAAAAGAGCTGGGAAACCCTAAAGACCCCAGAACCAGGCTAACTACTACAGATGAAACAGAGGTGTGCTTTTCCACAAGCTACGGTTAAATACAGATCCAAACAGTAAATACAAACCACGCCATAGCCAATGGCCCTACTCTGCTTGTTCCTGTGCACCAAAGGAATGACAGATGCCCCTCGGAAAGCGGCTCCCTTCAGTGAAACGCTCTCTGCTCTTCTGAGAAGTTTCATACCTACTACACTTGTTTTGTGAACCTCTGGTTCAGTTCCAGAAAAAGAATCTGAAAGGTCATCAAAAAACTGTTCCATATCCTTCAATTCGCCTTCAGCCATCAGCTTGATTCTGAATGAGAAAATCGGGGTGCATGTTTTAGGAAGGCCCACTCAACATCCTCCACGTTGCATATTCCTGAATTACCGACAACAGTTCTGATTTAAACGTTATTTCAAGGTTTGTATAAAGCTGTGGCTTGTACAACAAATTTTATAATCCACTTAAAATGCCACTCCCATATTCTTCAAGAATATCATACATTGCTCCCTTTCTGGTCATAACATTTGTCAAAGTAAAAATGGAATTATCTAAAACAAAAGGAGGTAATTCCATATAAAATAATACATGGGGGGGGGACATATAAATCTTATGTCTAATGTTATATCTAATCCACTTAAAAAATTTAAATAAAGGAACTAAGGAAAACAACTCCTCAGATGAGCCTAACTTCACTTCTCCATGGATCCCAGCTAGCTTCCAATGTGCTTTACAGCCAAGGAGGACCTTGAAGTACCGTTCTTCCTGCCTCTTACCTGCCACTGCTGGGATTACAGCTTCATACCTTCATGTCTAGTTTCAAGTGCTGGGGCTAGAAACCAGGCTTTGTGCATGGGGGGTGGGGGGGGGCAAGCAGTTCACCAAGAAAGCCAAGCCCCTATCCCCTAACTCTATCTTTTTGAACGTCTTAATGATCACCCACTCCTTTGCAGAGAGAAAGTTTACCTGATCTGCACTGAATTTGCCAGCTGAGGACACGATTCTTCAATTAGCTTGTACAGCTTTGACAGTGTGATATCTGGGCCCTGCATAAAGGAGAAATAGGAAGGTTAGTGACAATGGCCAAAGACCTACAGACAAAGAACTGCAAACAGAGTCATTTATCAGTCATTCCAAACAAGAAATAAGAATCAGGATTTTCCTGATTACCCAAAACACCAAGAAATACTCCACATTTGTGGATTGTTTTCGTTTATTCAATGGAATGGTCTAAAAAGAAAGACAAAGTGAACAGAATTTACAGGACAAGGCTCTCTTTCCTCTGGCACTCTGTAAACACAAAACCCTGTGGCTTTTCTGAGCCTGTTTCCTTCATTGGTTAAATGTCCTTTGTTTGTGGCAAAAGTTGAGTGAGCTAATACAAAGAGCTCTGTACACTGGGAAGCACTATACAAAGGTGGGTGCGCTAGTTCTCATGAGTAAAAACATTTTATCCTTTCCCAAATGCTGCAAGCCGCAGAAATATGAAGTAGGGGGCTGGAGAGATGACTTCAAGGTTAAGAGCACTGACTGCTCTTCCAGAGGTCCTGAGTTCAATTCCCAGCAACCACATGATAGCCCACAACCATCTGTAATGAGATCTGGCACCCTCTCTGTATACCTAATAAATAAATAAATCTAAATTAAAAAAAGAAATATAAAGTAGGAATTCAGCAGACTATGGCAAAGGCTATTACCTGGAAGAGTTAAGGACTCTTCCAGAGGATAAAGCTAAGACTCAGGAGTCTTGGTGACATTGGCTTTTGAATATATTAGCCGTGTCCTGCAGTCAATCTCCTGTGAGCTGTTGTAGCTTTCCCATTTGATTCTTTTCCCAAGAACTTCTAACAGTGTGGCTGATCATTCTTTGGGCACAATTTCCCTGTACAATTGGAGTATTTGGATAACGTCCCCAACTGTGCTGACAGCAGTCACACAGCCAGACCCCTAACTTCAGACCTTTCTGTAATTATCGTCATCAGCAACATCTGGCCAGGACCATCTGCAGACCTAAGTATTTTATCTGAAACACTTCCCAGACTTTCTAAGAATAGACTGCACACAGATAAGCAATTAGACTATCTGTTAGTTCTTGAGAGAAGGTAAAAATTTACAATGAGACAACTGCCCAGGCCAGGCAGATGTGCTAATTAGCTTAACCCTCCTTTTTTCCAAGTGTTATCTCTAGTTCTAAAGATCTCCCTTTAACAATTAACTCAGACATTCTTAGTCATCAGAGAAATGCAAATCAAAATGACTCTGAGATACCACCTTACACCTGTCAGAATGGCCATGACCAAAAACACTCATGACAGACTATGTTGGAGAGGATGCTGAGCAAGGGGAACACTCCTCGACTGTTGGTGGGAGAGCAAACTTGTACAACCACTGTGGAAATCAGTATGGCGGGTTCTCAAAAAATTGGGAATTGATCTACCTCAAGACTCAGCCATACCACTCTTGGGCACATACCCAAGGAATGCTCAATCATACCACAAAGATATATGCTCAACTATGTTCATAGACGTGTTATTCATAATAGCCAGAATCTGGAAACAACCTAGATGCCCACCAACTGCGGAATGGATTAAGAAAATGTGGTACATACACACATGGTACATACACACACTACTCAGCAGGGAAAAACAATGACAGCATGAAATTTGCAGGCAAATGGATGGAACTAGAAAATATCATCCTGAGTGAGGTAACCCAGACTCAGAAGGACAAAGATGGTATGTACTCACTCATAAGTGGATACTAGATGTAAAGCAAAGAACAATCACACTACAACCCACAGATCCAGGAAGGCTACCTAGCTGGGAGAACTCTAGAAGGACGGTGGCTTATAATAAGTTTTGGTTTTGCTGCCGGGTGGTGGTGGCGTACGCCTTTAATCCCAGCACTGGGAGGCAGAGCCAGCCTGATCTCCAAAGTGAGTTCCAGGAAAGGCGCAAAGTTACACAGAGAAACCCTGCCTCAAAAAAAAGAATTTGTACTGTATCAAGCTGATGAAAGAATATGCTGGCTGTACTTTCAGGGGGGGGAGGCTAAACTCTTTTTAGATTGTGGATTAGCCTATAGAAAAATGTCTGCCATAAATCAAACAGTGAAGGGGAAGATAAATAGGAATCTCACTTATACAACTTAAGTAAAACATGGCCCTCTGGATAGATAAAGATAGGTTTCTTCTGTATTGCAGAATCTAATCAATATTTATATGTATAATTCAGCTATTATTTGGCTTAAAAGGGCTTATTGGGAAATGTCATTTTTACTATTTTTTACAGAGAAAATATTTTCCAGTTTCAAATAACCCTGGACTTTTAAATTATAACCTGTTTTTGTGTTCAAAAACAAAACAAAACAAAACAAAACAATTAACTCAGAACAAAAAGGCTTTTTCGCCGGGCAGTGGTGGCGCACGCCTTTAATCCTAGCACTCAAGAGGCAGAGGCAGGAGGATCTCTGAGTTCGAGGCCAGCCTGGGCTACAGAGTGAGTTCCAGAAAAGGTGCAAAGCTACACAGAAAAACCCTGTCTCGAAACAAAAACAAAAAACAAAAAAAGGGGGCTGGAGAGATGACTCAGAGGTTAAGAGCACTGACTGCTCTTCCAGAGGTCCTGAGTTCAATTCCCAGCAACCACATGGTGGCTCACAGCCATCTGTAATGAGATCTGGTGCCCTCTTCTGGCCTGCAGTCATATATGCTGTATACATAATAAATAAATAAATAAATCTTTAAAAAAAAAAAAGAGGGGGGCTTTTACACACCAGGTACATCTAGCTGTGATACAGGTTGCCTAGTTACCGAGTACACTTCCCCCACCCTGCAAGAAAATGGCACAGTGGAGATAAGCTTGGACAGATGAGGATCCAAAGGAAAAAAGGCAGTCTTATTTTCACTCATGACTTAGTGATTTATAGACTCCTAACATTTTACCTAACCACATCTAAGAATATAGTTTGAGCACATAAATTCCCTTTTCACTCTATTAACTGAATTTAGCCCTCAGTTGATTCATCCCATTAGTCACTTCCCTTTTGGGTCGCTAATGACAGCTGACAGTTACTGCTCTTTGTGTGGATCTTATCACCCCACCTTTTGACCCTGAGGGAATTCAAGCCTGGTGACCTTGCTTTGGCCACAGTATTGCTGATTGCATGGGTATACAACTGAAAACCTCAGAGACTTGGAAAGAACTAAGATGGAGAACTGAGCTGGGGCAGGACTAAGATGAGAGAACCAAGATAGAACATAAAGAGAACAGCACAAAAATGTAGAGAGAAAGGAGCTGAGTATGAGAGCAGAACAGAAGCTGTGTAGAGAGAGAATGGACTCAGAAGAATAAAGTGAATGGACTGAAGAGTTTCGTGTATGTTTAACATTTAACATCCCTCAGATTAATTCATCACTGGTAGCATCTCTTCTGGAACTCTGGGGAAATTATAAGGGGCTGGACCTCTATAGTCTTTGTTACCCAAACTCTGGGAGGAAGGAAGACTGAACCTAGAAACAGTACCTTACGAGGTACAGGGTAACTCAACCTCAGGTTAAAATAAACCTCAGATAGCTGAGGTAAAAGCAGCCTCAGCTATCATGGTTATAATCAAGATGAGGTCTAAAAATGACACACTGCAGTCATTTTAGAAAGTTAACAGTGTTCAGGCCACTTTAGAAGTGGTAACCCAGCAAATCTACTTCTTGAGAAATTGTATTTGATATGCATCATTTTAAAAGAGTCTGTATGTTAAAACAAAGACAAACAAAAAAAACTTTAGAAAGTAGCAATTATCAAGGTCTTTTTCAAACTACTACTCCTAGAAAAAAAGAAAGGAAGGCAGGCAGGCAGGCAGGCAGGCAGGCAGGAACTGGAAAACATGGAGAACTGTCTTTCACTCCATCAATTGTGGGGTTTTTATGTTGTTGCTGTTGTTGTTTTTCAAGCAATAATGAGTTTCTCGGGGTTGGGGACTTAGCTCAGTGATAGAGCACTTGCCTAGCAAGCGCAAGGCCCTGGGTTCAGTCCTCAGCCCTGAAAAAAAAAAAAAAAAAAAAAGTTTCTCTGTGTAGCCCTGGCTGTCCTGGAACTCATTTGCAGACCAGGCTGGCCTTGAACTCACAGAGGTCCTCCTGCCTCTGCCGAGTGCTGAGATTAAAGGCGTGCACCATTTACTGTGCACCAGCAACTCCATTAACTTTCGTTCTATTTGGATGTTTTTACAACACTGTGCATCAGTGGAAAGGTTAAACACAAATTAAGAAAGTCATATGATAAGTAAAGGAGTTAAGTCTAGTGGAATGTTATTAGATTAATTCTGTATATACCAACTTTAAAACTAGTTGGTAGCTGGGCAAAGAATCAGAAACAATTCCAAACGGCAAAGAAACCCATCTTTAAAAAAAAAAAAATTTAAAAAGGGTCTAACGAACTTGCTCCAGTCAATGGAGCTACAATCTAAGCCTGCAAAATGAAATAAAACATCACCAGTGCCCACTACATAGAATAAAAGTTTGAGCGACACTGTTGTGTCCTTATTCTATTTATTACACTCTTCTAGAGGAAGGAGCATCTACAATTCCTCTCTCCTTGTTCTCCAAAGCTCAAGATTACGTATACCCCATTTTCCAGAAGACCAACAGAAGGCCTCCCCACAGTCACTCAGGTAGGTGATCCAGCAGCCTAAGGAGGCCTGCACAAAGAATGCATGTCTAGCACTTGCCCATAGGAGGCGCTCGATAAGCTTAGAAGTTAAGCTAGAAGCATTCCCGCAATTTTTCCAGATTCCACCGGAGCAGCGTGGAGCGATGAACCCCCGCCCCACCGGAAGGCCCCGGGCTGCACCTTCCCCGCCCCCAGGCCCCAGGCCCAGGGCGGGGCCTACAGTAAAGCGCGCAGCAATGGGCGGGCGAGGGTGGACGCCTCTCACCTGCAGCAGTGGCAGGAGCAGCTGGTTGAGCTTCCGCCGCTCCACGAGGCTGACGGCGCCTTCTCCCGTGCGGCCCATCTCGTTCAGCAGCACCAGGACCGCGATCTTATAGGGCGTCACCCAGTCCTTAATGCCAAACAAGTTGGCGTGCACTACCCCGTTGGTCATCATCGGGCCGATGTATCGGCTCCCGTGGACGCTGGCAGTGACAGGCCTGCAAGGCCCGCCACGCGCCGCGCCCACGAGCCGCCTTACGCCATGGCAGCACCCGCCCGGCACCTCGCCCGCCCCCGTACTGTTTCCCACAGCCGCGGGTCCTCCGTGGCCCGGCAGGGTCCTCGACCAATCACAGACCAGAAGGTAGGCCGACGGCCAATCAAACTATCCAGAAGGGCAGCGAGGGGGTGGGACAAACGTGGTGTTACTAGAAATTGGTTCCCTACGGAAACGCTCCACCAACGTGAACCGGTTCCGCGTCGACGTGGACAGGGATCTGGAAGAAAGGAAGAGGCAATGCTTGAGGTTAACGAGGAAGTGAGCGGGCTGCGCGTGTATTCATTTAATTTGAAAAGAGGTCGAATTGCATCCCCCGCCCCCTTTGGCGATTCTAGAGGTTGAACACGAAGCCTCGTGTATGCCAGGGAAGCTCTCTAACAAAGACCTTCATCTGAAGCTACGCCCCTCCCCTTTTTGAGACAAAAAGCTTGCTAAGTAGCTGAACCTGGCCTCGAACTTGTGATCTTCCTACTTGTCGACGACTACCACAGTAGCTGAGATGATTCGAATGCCTAAATTACATTTTTAAATAGTTGTGTTAAAAACCAATGAAATTAAATTGGCAATCTTAAATTATATTTTCAAACTGGATATGGTAGTCCCTACCTCTTATACTAGCACTCAGGAGGCACAGGTAGTGAGTAGCAGGCAGATCTCCAAAAGTTTGAGACCAGCCTGGTCTACAAAGCCAGTTCCAGGCCAGCGAGGGATGCCCAGTAAGACCCTGCCTCAAAAAAGAAAAAAAAAACATATGTGTGTGTGTGTGTGTGTGTGTGTGTGTGTGTGTGTGTTTTGAGACAGGGTTTCTCTGTGTAGCTTTGCACCTTTCCTGGATCTCTCTCTGTAGACCAGGCTGGCCTCGAACTCACAAAGATCTGCCTGCCTCTGCCTCCCGAGAGTGCTGGGATTAAAGTCATCTGGAGAGATGACTTAGCACTAAAGGGCACGTGCGGCTCGTGCAGAGGATGCAGGTTCAGTCCCCAGCATCCACAAGGTGGCTCACAGACATCTGTAGCTCTAGCTCCAGGGGCTCCAAAGCCCTCATCTGCTCTCCTTGGGCATCTGGCAAGCAAGCGGTGCACAGACATACATGCAGGCAAAACACTCATATACATACATTAAATGAATCTTTTTTTTTTAAAAAGAAGTAACTGAAAATTAGTAGACTATGAAGTTGTTTTTCAAAATAAGGAATCAGATGCATGGTTTCTATATCTCGGAACACCGTACATCTGGAGCAGAACTACAGCTTTTCCTCCAGCTCGTCCGACTGGAGCTCTCCAACTGACATCTGCAGCTCCCATTACAGATGGGAGAGCCATCGGTGTCACAAAGAGCTATTTTACGTACTGCTAATCAAACCCAAACCTTCCCAAAGTGACAGCCCCTAGTCACAGTAGTTCTAAAACAGGATGGTAGATGTGGAGCATTCCTCTGCTTTCATGGAACAAGAGAAATATGTAATATGTAAACCTGTCTTGTGTGCATGCATGAATGCTCTTGATTAAAAGCAACAACAACACAGGACCAGGT